TCCTGCATGAACACCAAAATTCACTCCTAGTATGCACCTCTTGTCTTAGGCAGGAGGTAATTTTGAGTTGCTTTGACTAGACTGCTCCCAGGGTATTCTCCTTGTTATTTTATACAAAGATAAAAAATTTGATTACTTTCCATTATTTTCTCTTTAAACTTTTACTTTATCAATGGATGTCAAGCAACTGTGAGGTTGTTGGGAATTTATAGAAAGATTCCAAACTTATCCCTTATTCTTCTTCATCTATATTTGTTTTCAAGTAAACACATACTTAGGTGAATAGACATTTTCTTTATAAAATATACTAATAAATTCACAGATTTAATGGTTAACTTCCCCTTACCTAATTTCTGTCAACAGGTGCCTGAATATTTTATTTATAAAGTGTTTGTTAATAAATTAAAGTTATGAATCATTAGTTTTATAAGTACTGCGCGCTAACCGATTGTGCCACTGGATCTCCTGAATCACTAGTTTTGCTGTCTTGTGAATATATGACTGTACTGGTCACAGTATTCACAACTGTGCCCTCTCCTGCTGCCTACATTGCCCTGAAATGGGCCAAAAGCCTTGCTTCTTCAATACCCAGGTTATAGATCAGTGTCCAGGTGCCACTTGGGAGAGCCCAGACTCAAAGTACTTAAACTTATGCAGCAAGAAATGGAGAAGTAAATTACTGGTGCACACTCAGCACATGAATCTTTCTTCCTTGAGTGAACCTATTTCAAACTTGATATCACTATTATTTGCTAAGAAAGTAGGAAAAAGAGTTTTCCAAACCTGTCTTAATAGAAAATTTGCCTTATTGTAAAATCCCAAAAAAACCCTTAGGAAGTGAGAAAAGTCAAGATTTTGGTAGAATATTTGGACCCTTTTCTGAGGTTCTCCAACCAATACCTTCACGTTGATATGATGCAAGATGACTTCCATAGAGATCATTGACCTACTCCAGGCCTTGATAGGAAAGGCCAAAGGTATGGATCATTATTATATTGAGTGTGCCATAGCTGGGGAAACACAAACCTTCTCCAAACATCTGCTTAGAGTATTATCATTGCATTCTCTGCTCTGGTGTTAGGGCAAATGACTGTTTCCTAGGGGATCATATGGCAATGGGATGGGGCTGCTTGCTGACCTGCTGATGGAACTAGCAGCTGGGTAGCCAAGCCTAGCACTTTTTTCTCTGGGTCTCTTGTTCTCTCACAATCTAAAGCTGCTTAAATGAAATGTCATGTGACAGGCAAGTCAGTCTTTACCTCAAGTGAATCATTTGAGGAATTGAAGTCCTGGTCAACTTTGCAAGGAAAAGAAAATAAAAACCTCAAAATGCCCAAGCCCTTTGAAGATGGTGATATGCAAGGAAGAAAATTCCACTCAATGTGAAGAGGAAAATTTTCTGTAGGACACAGCATAAAATCTAGTAGCTGAGATATTTCAACTTAAAAACAGCCTTCTAATTTAGAAGGAATACAGGTACTCTACACAATAAGGGAGAAGGAAATAATAATATACACAACATGGTGTAGTCATTCATTGTTTTATCCAGATTGAAGGAAGCAAAGGAAACCAAGAAAATTTGAAATTACAAAAATGACCATTGCCAACACTTACTGAGCACTTACCATGTAACTGGCATTATGATAAGCACTTAACATTGATTTTATCATTTATTCCTCATAACATCCCTAAGAGGTAGGTATTATTATACTCACTTACTTATGAGGAATAATGCTGAGAGAGGTTAAGTAATTTTCCCCAGATCATATAGTTAAAGTGGCAGAACTAGTTCTTTGGTGTCACAGTATCAAAAGTTCTTATTGAGAATCAATGTGGTAGAGTGGAGAGAGCCTTTGGGTCAAGCTCTGACTAAAAAGTATGTGTTGGGATGGTTTGGGGACCATTTCATTTTCTGTTGTAGCTAGAGTCTTGAGATACACCCATTGATGGCTACATGGGACTTCTGTTGACAAATATCTGTTGATGTCTTATTAAATCATTTGGTTATTGTGGCTGAGACTGTGGATTTGCTCTTGCATGAATAGTTTAGGTCTTCTCTGTAGCCAGTTATCTTTCTAAATTATATCTTGGACACAAAGAAGCAGGATGAGAAAAAGTTAAATAAAACCATGCAAAATCAGAGGTGCAAGATTAACCATGAAAGATTAGATTTGGGGAAAATAACCCAAAGTACATTGTTGTGATGAAGCTATTATCCAAGTGCTAAGTTACCTTCAGAAGTTCTATCCATTAGTCTAAGGATGAGCAGTTAATCAGCACCATTTCTCCCTGCAACTCTTCTTCCCACAACTGTTCCCTTCTCTCTCTTCCTAAGTCCATATCTCATATCTATAGCTGTAGGCACTGAAATGGGACCTAAAGCAGTCTAGTTTTTTTGTACATAAGCAAAAAGTGCTTGTGACTATAGGAGATAGCATTTTCGAATGAAGTTATGTTTGAAACTGGTATGCAGGTCCCTCATCAGCCATTTCAGTCACCCGGACAGTGTGACCTGACATCATGAAGCTTATTTGAAAACAGAGGACAGTAGTACCCATATACATCAAACCAGGACTTCCGCTACGATCAGCCCTTGGACTGCATGTGTAGAAATGGGCCTGTTTGACCCTCAAAAAACTGTCCTTTCTGTTTTGGGTTTCTCACTTCCTGTTAGGTCAGAGATTAATTTTATTTGCTCTAGTACAGCGATTTTCAACTTGTGTGCCTCAAGAATTTTTAAAACCTGCAATATCTGACTAGTCAGGAGCACTGACCACTTTTCCCTTAGATCAGGGGTCCTCAAACTACGGCCCGCAGGCCACATGCAAATACAAATATTGTATTTGTTCCCGTTTTGTTTTTTTTACTTTAAAATAAGATATGTGCAGTGTGCATAGGAATTTGTTCATAGTTTTTTTGAAACTATAGTCCGGCCCTCCAATGGTCTGAGGGACAGTGAACTGGCCCCCTGTTTAAAAAGTTTGAGGACCCCTGCCTTAGATTGTCAAATTAAAAAACTGACAACCAACACAATAGCTGCCTGGTGTGAATGAATCAAAATTATGCCTATTTATTTAGTCAGATTGTCAAATAATATATTTTTGGTGTGCTGTAGAATTTAATAATTAGTTTATGTGTGCCATGCCATGAGATGAAAAAGGTAGAAAATCGCTGTACTAGTGAGTCAGCCCTGCCTCATTGCCATGGTCAAGGAGATTCACGGTTCATGAGTTCATGCCAATCCCAGGAGTGACCGTCAGATGGCAGCATCTAGCTAGTTAGTGTTGGTGAGAGATTCCCACTTCCACTCCTACTCTATCCCACCCCTGATTAAACTCTGTTACTAAAGAGGAGTAACTCTGAACATAAAGGTCTTTAATATCCTAAATATTTGGGGAGTGGAAAGAGAGAGGGAGTAGAAGATGTGGAAAAAGCACTGATTTTAGAGTCAGATAGGTCTGGGTTCCTTCCTTTCCTTGGTCAACAGAAGCAATTGTTCTGACACTATATGGCAATGCTTTCTTTGTTGTGGCTCTGAAGGTTTTTGTTTAGTTTTGTGATTGTTTTTTTTTTTTTTTAAAAACTTGATTAAACATATGTTTATTTTCCACTGCCAAAAGTGCCAACAAAAGGATTCTACAACTGTAGACAACAGAAAACTAACAACAGCTATTGACAAGATAGACCCAGCATGAAGGATACATGCATGATGATAGGATATATCACCAAGTCCCAGTTTTTGTTTGTGCATAGAAACAGCAAGGAAAAAAGACAGTCTAAGTCCTCTTTTGTGGCGATTGTGCTGTTGAGATTTATTTTTAAAATTTCTTTTATCATTCAGTTCCACAAGCCATTTCATTTTATTTGTTCACTAGTTCCCTCGTTTTGTTTATTAGTTCACTCAACCAATATTTACTATATTCAGAGCACTTTGGCTGGATACTCTGTTTTTTACTTAGTTTTTTTTTTTATAGAATTAGCAAGATTTCAAAAAAGACTTGATTTTAATACCATTAAAAGAATGCCAACTGGGTGAAAAAGGTGAAGGAATTAAGAAGTATAAATGGCCAGTTTTAAAAATAGCCATGGGGATGCCAATTGAGCATAGGAAATACAGACATAGCATTGTAATAATGACGTACGGTGTCAGATGGGTGCTAGACTTATGTGGTGATCACTTCTTAAGCTATAAATCACTATGTAGTACACCTGAAACTAATATGCATCAATTGTAATTAAAAATTTTTTAATTTAAAAAAAGAATAGACACATGAGAGGAAAGGCTAACCCTAAATGTTACTCTATCCTTTTTTCCTACACCTTCCTCAATTTCCAGATGTCTGGAACTAAAATCAGTTCACAAACTCTCATTGGCATATCCTATCTATCCAAACCTTTGGGAATCAGAGTCTCCAGGGAACAGAACACTCTCCAAAGATCACATGACTAGAGAATTTCCTCAAGAGACAGACAACTCCAATGTCATTTAGATCTGCCTTTTCTCCCTTTTCACACCCTGGCCATACAGGACATATACACGTGGACATCCAGCCCATCAGTCTCTGCCCTGAGTCATTGTACTGGCTACAGCACCGTCTCTCTATAAAAGAGAAAATCTCTTGCTTTCAGAGATGAACATGTTTGCAAACTTTTTAGTCTTGGGGAGGCAGTGATGAGAAAAGTTGTGAGCAGAGAAGTGGGAAGGAAGAGTAGACTATAGAGTTGAGGAAATATCAACTTGCCATTCTCAACACCTCTCTCTGGTGCCCATTTGTTACCTTCCATTCTCCTACCTCTTGGTTTCTCTCCAGGCACCTCCAAGGCAGTGATGGCTCTCCAGAAGACCCTTTCATTGCTTCTGCTCTCACTGCTGATGCTGCTGTGGCTGGGGCTGGTGCAGCCCTCCTATGGCGAGACTATGTACCAACGATTCCTGCGGGAACATGTGGACTCTACAGGGACAGGTGGCAACAGCTCGTACTGCAAAAAAATGATGCAAGAACGGGAGATGACTAGGCCTAGGTGCAAGCGATTCAACACCTTCATCCATGAAGACATCGGCACCATTAAGAACATCTGCAAGACCCCCCAAATCCCGTGCAAGAATGGCAAGATGAACTGCCATGAGGGTGAAGTGAGAGTCACAGACTGCAGGCTTACAGCACGTTTCCGGGGAAACTGCAGATATCAGGGCAGGGGCAGCTCTAGGCGTGTTGTCATTGCCTGTCAGGGTAAGCTGCCTGTGCACTTTGACAAATAGATACTACCCTGCAGGGTTATGGCCCCGTGGTTGACCTTTAACTTACTCCTTGAATAGCAATGACATTTGAGCTCTCTCAGGCTCTGCCTCCGCTGCTTATGCCTACTCCTTTTTCTCTATATAATCCATTCTGTTAAATACATCAAAGAGAAATGGAGACATAAACCTATAATGGGACTGGGCTTCCTGTAACAAAATTTTTTATAAACTCTTCTGCTTCCTTTTCTAATACTGGTCAGCTTCGCTCTCTCAAATCTGATCCTCTGGAATTTCGTCATTATGTGTATGATACAGCATTTCAAATATTTTAAGGTGTTTCCATCTCAGTTATCTCATTTTAATACCATTGCACCCCTGTGATGCTCATGTTGCTACAAAAAGGGCCCAAAGTTAAAGGATTTGATGAAGAACATGAAGGTAGTGGAAAAGCTGACACAAAAAAATCCATTTAAAAAAAAATCCATTTCAACTGGCTACTAATCCAGGGCTTTTCCTCCTTCGTCACAGGGAGTGCTTTAAAAGTAACTGCTTTTTGATATTCTCAAAGTCAGCTGATGGGGGAAGCATTAAATATTTAGAAATATGAACTGGCAAAATGAGAGCTCTGTCTGTATAATTTGGCAACCTTGTTATGTTTGTAACTAATAAGATTAAGAAATTATACAGGACTTCCTTTTTCTCTTCACAAACTTTTGAATCACTGTAGTAAGTCAGAGTATTAACAATGTACTAGATCATTAAGACTCATTCACTCTTCCTGACTGGAAAGATTTTTCATGTTTTTCCTTTAATAAAGAACTCAAACTGCAGATATCTGTGAAGATAGTGCTATGATTTTTGTGTGGGATTTCTTTTCTTTTATTCTCTTTTAATTATTTTTTAGTTTATGAACATGCACCAACACCTCAATACCCTCATAAACTGGTCCATGATTAAAACCTATTGGATCAATGACCAGGACACAGAAACATTTGTGTCATTTACTAAAGACAATTCTAACACCTCTCCCTTTTCCCTTTGATTATTTTGAAACAAATTGGAGAAGAGAGATGTATAAAGACACTAGAAGCTAAAAATGGAAGTATGCATGTGAGAGAGTGTGTGCGTGTGTGTGCGCACGCGCGCACACGTGAAAGGACTAAACGAAAAATATTTAAATTGAAGCAAATATATATTGTTTATATTTAAGTTGTGCAACCTCATTCAGTATACATATGCATTGTGAAAGAATCACTACAATCAAGGTAACTAACGTATCTGTTACTTCACATGTTACCAAAGTGACCCCATTTTGGACTGCTTTCTACTCCATTCTTTTCAACACTACTGACCATCATAGCTTAGCCTACTAGCTTTTTCTGACAACATATTGCTTTCACACCATTGTAAAAGTTAAAAAATCATAGGCATGAAAATCCTATATAATAAATGCGTAGTATGCAAATTGTCCCCTTGACCTGGAGTTCCACCAGGGGTGGGGCCAGCTGGGGGAAGGGAAGGAAGCCCTGGCCTGCAGCAGCTGGCCACTGGGGGAAGGGAGGAAGTACCCCGTCTGCAGCTGGCAGCCGCTAAGGACCCTACCAGTGCATGGATTTCGTGACCTAGGCCTCTAGTTCATAAAAAAAAATTGTGGATCATGTTTGCTAATCCATGTCACCAAACTAAAACTTAGCAACTAACCAAATTTCAGCCTCTTTCAGAGGTGAAATTTTAAACCAATCAATTTAGAATTACCTGATCAGCACTGGTGAGGTAATCAGGCTGATAAGACCCTCTGCCTTCCCCTGAATGAAGGTGCCCTTGCCTAAAATAATCCAGTCTTCTAACTACGTAGTCTCACCCTCTTTCTGCCTGTAAAAACCCTCCATTTTGTACAACTCATCAAAGCACCTTTCTAGTTGCTAGATGGCATGCTGCCTAATTCCTGAATTGCTTAATAAAGCCAATTAGTGTTATGCCCAGATTTCAGGATCCCCAAGAGACCACACCAGGGAGCCAGCCGAGTCTGATGCAAAAGCATAAGAGTGTTTATTTGAGCTAGCTCGGGCTCCCTGTCTACCACACTCGCTGACGCAGCAGCAAGAGGCAGAGAGCGAGCGAGCTTTGTGGGTAGAGGGGTTTTATAGGGGCGTTGGAGTAAGGGGAGGAGAGAGGACTGTGGGCCCTGCCGATTGGCCAGGCGCAAGTCGATGTCTTGTTACACAGGATGTGGTTGCATCTATGGCGAGCATTTCCCTTGATTATTATTGGTTAGTTTAAAGAAATCCTAGGTGTGGCTAGCAGAGGGTTGGGCTTCCGGGAAGAAGCTCCTTGCTGAGCACATGGCTGCTGCACAAAAATGGAGGATTCAGGGAAAGATGGAGGGCATAGCCCTTGCCCTTTCATTAGATCTTCAAACTTACTTGGTTGAATTTTATTCTTTACTCCTGCCCCCAGGGCCTTTGCCATTACTTTGCACCCAGAAGACTGTCTTTTTTTTTTTTTAACAGTAATTAAAAATATTTTATTAAATTGCTATATACACCTAGTTACAAATAAAATGAGACAGGAAAACCTAGTAAAATCCCTCTGCCCCTCCCCCATATCCACTTTCTTTAACTCCTCTGCCCAGCACCAAACATTTTTTTAATTAAATCTTTATTGTTCAGATTATTACAGTTGTTCCTCTTTTTTCCCCCATAGTTCTCCTCCACCCAGTTCCCACCCCACCCTCTGCCCTTACCCCTCCCACTGTCCTAATCCATAGGTGTACAATATTTTTCCAGTCTCTTCTTGGACCCCCACGACTTTTTCCCCCCAAGAATTGTCAGTCCACTCCCTTTCCATGCCCCTGGTTCTATTATATTCACCAGTTTACTCTGTTCATCAAATTTTTTATTCACTTGATTTTTAGATTCACTTGTTGATAGATATATATTTGCTTTTCATAATTTTTATCTTTACCTTTTCTTCTTCCTCTTCTTAAAGAATAACTTTCAGCATTTCATATAATGCTGGTTTGGTGGTGATGAACTCCTTTAGCTTTTTCTTATCTGTGAAGATCTTTATCTGACCTTCAATTCTGAATGATAGCATTGCTGGATAAAGTAATCTTGGTTGTAGGTTCTTGGCATTCATCACTTTGAATATTTCTTGCCACTCTCTTCTGGCCTGAATAGTTTCTGTTGAGAAATCAGCTGACAGTCGTATGGGTATTCCCTTGACTGACTGTCTTTCTCTTGCTGCTTTTAAGATTATCTCTTTGTCTTTTGCCCTTGGCATTTTAATTATGATGTGTCTTGGTGTGGTCCTCTTTGGATTCCTTTTGTTTGGGGTTCTCTGTGCATTCTGGACTTGTAAGTCTATTTCTTTCACCAAGTAGGGGAAGTTTTCTGTCATTATTTCTTCAAATAGGTTTTCAATATCTTGCTCTCTCTCTTCTTCTGGCACCCTTATAATTGCTATGTTGGTACGCTTGAAGTTGTCCCAGAGGCTCCTTACACTATCTTCATATTTTTGGATTCTTTTTGCTTTTTGCTTTTCCGGTTGGGTATTTTTTGTTTCTTCATTTTTCAAGTCTTTGACTTGATTCTTGGGATCCGCTTGTCTGCTGTTGGATCTCTGTATATTATTCTTTATTTCATCAGTGTATGCTTAATTTCTAGTTGGTCTTTTTTCATATCCTCCAGGGTCTCACTAAATTTATTGGTGGTTTCCATAAAATTCTTGAAAAACCTTATAAACGTGGTTTTGAACTTTATATCCAGTCTCTTGCTTTCCTCCAGTTCTGCCATTTGTGACCTGTTTCTTTGTCTCCGCATTTTTTATGCTTCCCTGTGTTGGTAGAGTGGCTTTGTGTGCTAGGTGTCCTATAGGGCCCAGTGGCTCAGCCTCCCCAATTACCTGAGTTGGACACTCTTGGTGCACCCCCTTGTGGGCTTTGTGCACAGTCTTGTTGTAGTTAAGCCTTGATTGTTGTAGGTATCACTGGGAGAAATTGACCTCCAGGCCAATTGGCTGTGAGAATCAGCTGAGCCTGCAGTGGGAGAACTTATGTGCTGAAGACACCCTTCTGGGGCAAGACTTGCTTCAGTGGGGCTTTGGTGCTCTCTGAGTCTGCCCCCAGAGTGTGTCCCTTATGGATCTGAGGAGTTGTAGTCTGGATGGTCCTTCTCTGACCACTGGGTACACTGGCTCTTGGATCTAAGGAGGTGCTAATTTAGCCTCTTCCTGAGGCTACCCAGCAGGAGCTACGAAGAGATCTGCAGATTCTCCTTCCTTTTTAGGGGTTTGGAGGTGCCCAGATGAGGTACAGCTGTGAAGCAGTGCAAGCTGCTGTGGGGCCTTGGGCCTTCTCTTGGAAGTTCTGGGTCTGTCTGGCCCAGCTGCAGTTTGTTAGGTATTTTCCGGATTGCAAAGGGCCAGGGCATTCATATGCAAAAGCCTCTGCAGAAGCCTGGGTGGGGCGGGGTCTCAGGGAATCAACAGGGCAGAGCAAGCAGCTATGGCTGATCCTCAGCCCTGCCCTAAGGGGCCCTGCATCTCAGTGTCCAGGTAATTGCTGCAAGCACCTCTGAGGGAAAGCCACTCTCAAGTTCTGAGTTCTGCCTGCAGCCAGACATTCCAGTTACTCCCTGTATGAGTCCTGGTTCCCCAGAGACTTCCTGGAACTGGAGTTCAGAGCAGTGGGGAGCTTGTGACTCCCTCCCGATTCAAAAAGACAGTCGTGTCCTCAGGTGCCAGCCCCTTTCTGCCCACTCGAGCCTCCATACCTCTGCACTTTACTTCCTCAGTTCCTCTGAGTTTCAGTGGGCTTTTCTCTTTCCTTCTAGTTGTAGAATTTCCACTCATCCAGCCTTCCTGTAATTCTGGATGATGTCCGTTTTGTCTTTTCCTTGTATTTTTGAAGTTGTTGTGGGAGGCAGCAATTTCCGGTGTTTACCTATGCCGCCATCTTGGTTTCTCCCCAGAAGACTGTCTTTGTTGTATGACCCCTTTGCTCCAGGCTCTTCTCAGAGTGACCCCCAGTGTCCTAATGAGGAGATAAATAGTTGCACAGAGTAAGGCTGTCCCCTCTTCCTCCACCACCACTGCCAATCAGTTGGAACACTGCCCCTCCCACATCTATTCCTTTCTTCACTGCCTCAGACTTCTTAGCTCTAAGAAAAGGGAAAGGACATTGACCCTGCTCTTTAAATTGACACACTAATCCCCATGGACCTGT